GTATGCAGTATATGCAGGGTACAATGGTGTGTATATGTGTGTGTGGGGGGTGGGTGGGTGGAACAGTCATAAAACATTTGCTATTCTTATATGAGCTGTGATCAAGATTTCACCGGATAGTTACAAAATAATTGACATTTTTATAAATATAATTTAATTTTTATACATTTGTTATTCTCTCCATAAAAAGACGTAGACAATCGGGAATTTGACTAAGTGTGACTACTTGATCATACATATCAAATTTTATTTTGTTTATTAGTCAGGATTTGCCATGTGATGCGGGTGATTTGAGAACACTATTCTTAGCGTTTCTGTAAAGAATGTTCTTCTCAGAGATGATGTGATCCTTCTCTTGAGAATATTGCTTGTGAAGTCTCCTTTAAAGTGCGAGTTCATACAGAGTTTCTTTTTCAGTGCAAGTGAAGTTTCATTTCTCCAAATTCCTGGTTGTCTACGTCTTCTTATGGAGAGAATAACAAATGTATAAAAATTAAATTATATTTATAAAAATGTCAATTATTTTGTAACTATCCGGTCAAATCTTGATCACAGCTCATATGAGAATAGCAAATGTTTTATGACTGTCCCACCCACACACACACATACATACATACACCATTGTATCCCGCATATACTGCATACACACATATATTTTAACAAAAGTAGACAAATTATTGAATTGAATTTTTAATTTTTCCGTCGATTGATTGGACCGAAGTGCTCGGTCTCAGGTTGACATGTCGGCTTCTTGTGCAGATGCTTCGACGATGTCTGGGTATTTTATTAGTATACAATTGGTGGATGGTGGCTAGCAGTGGAATCCAGGATGCGCATTTCGTCCTATTTGGGACTCGTCAGCTGGATGTACCTGCATTTCTCAGTGAGTGATGATGTTCCCACCGAGGCTCGAACCCAGTTTGAAACTATGGGTACTGGGTTCGAGCCTCGGTGGGAACATCATCACTCACTGAGAAATGCAGGTACATCCAGATGACGAGTCCCACATAGGACGAAATACGTATCCTGGATTCCACTGCTAGCCACCATCCACCAATTGTATACTAAAAGTAGACAAATTTTGAAAGTCTGAGGTCAAAAAGTTTTTGATCATAGTTCATACAATTTTTGTTTTTGTTTTGTTTTGTATACCTATTGATTCATATTTTAAAAATAAGAGATTTACTTTTATATAAACATACAATTCTATTTATTTATTTATGATACATGTTGATACCTGTTGCACGATTCATGATTGGACAAGAATTTTAAAAACAAGATGTGTCCCTTTATATATAAACTTTGTTATGTTAATTTCGATTAATTTCCCTGAAGAAGTTCGGACCAGATAGCCGAACGAAACGTTGGAATTAATCATTTCAATTTAGCTGAGATTTTACAAATATAACTTTATAAATGTCTACTTCTCACTCAGCGCTCAATTATTTTGCAACTATCCGATCAAATCTTGATCACAGTTCCTATGAATTAGTACAAAAAAGGTTAAGAAAATTTGGGGTTAATGAGACTAGAGTAGTAACAAAGGTGATGGATGAGTTGTCACAAACAGTTATTAAAAAGGAATTGCGTATTAATATGAATAGTTTGATGATCGACTTGTACTCAGGATGCACATAGAAACAAAGTAGAGAATACGAAATCACGTAATAGTTCTAAATGAGTACAAGGATTATAAGCAATTAAAGAAACAGGCAAACAAACAAAATTAAGTCATCAAATTTCGACAAAGTTATTACCATGATAATAGAAGTAGTTGAGTAATTGCTTGTATTCATTTAAAACTCTTACGTGATTTTGTATTCTCTACTTTGTTTCTATGTGCATCCTGAGTACAAGTTGATCATCAAACTATTCATATTAATACGTAACTCCTTTTTAATAACTGTTTGTGACAACTCATCCATCACCTTTGTTACTACTCCAGTCTCATTAACATAAGAATAAAACTTGTGCACTGTGGTAGAGTGTAATTCCATTATGGGTAAATTTTGTTTTGATAAAGTCTCACAGCGTTATACAGTAATGTTTACTGATGACGTTTCGAGCACAATTTATTGCTCATAATCATATCAAGGTAATCACACGACTTCCTAAATTCATTTATATAGTTCCATTGTTTTTCTCTTGATTTGATTGGTAATAGTATTTTCCATATTTCAGGTATGAGTGACGAGTCATTCCTATTGCATGTGTTGGGTGTAGACTCGATGAACAAGGATTCAGTAATCAACCTCTCTCTCCACCTACCTAGATTACTTTTTAGAATTTTAACCCTCTCCCACCCTATTGTGTGGTTGTGTGTTAGCGCATGCATTGCAATTGCTGAGCTTTTTTCTAAATTACTTATCTTCTCGGGGTCAACCATTCTTACCTTAGCTAAATTCGTATGCTCTGACCTACTAGTTTGACCTATGTAGTTGACCTCACAGTCATTGCATGGTATTTTGTAAATAATATTATTTTGTCTAATTGGGTCAACTGGGTCCTTTAACCTACAGAGCTTGTCCCTGAGTGAGTTTGTAGGTTTAAATGCCACCCTAATTCCTATTTTATTCAGAATCCTACGTAGTGTCTCAGATGTCCCCTCTTTATATGGTATAACTGTGGATGACTTATATTCTTTCTTATTTATGTTATTATTACTAGTTTCACAATTATTTTTATTTTGTTTTTGGCCTTTAATGATCTTCCTAATGAATTTTATAGGATAGTTATTCAACACCAACGCTTCTTCTATCTGTTTTAATTCATCATTTAGATCTTTTTTGTGCTACTTAGTGCCACTGCTCGGTTTGTTAAACATTTAACTAAGCCTGCCTTAACAGTTAAAGGATGAGACGAATTAAAGTCTAAATATCTATTAGAATGCGTTGGTTTTCTATAAACACTAGTGTGTAGTTTGCCTTCTTCTATTCTTTTTATCTTACAATCTAACATAGCTAATTCTCCTTGTTCATTTTCTGATTCAAATGTGAATTTTATTCCCTCAACTTGTGAGTTTATATGTGTCAAGAAGCTAGAGATGTGTTCTGTTTTTAACACTGTGAAAGTGTCATCCACATATCTCCACCATATTTTCGGAGTAGGGTTAAATGTATTGAGGGCACTATTTTCCCAGCTGTCCATAAATATGTCTGCTACGATAGGGGATATTGGTGATCCCATTGCTACACCTTCTGTTTGTCTATATATTTTGCCTTGGAACTTAAAGATAGTAGATGTGAGGCATAACTGAATCCCTAAAATAATTTCTTCAATGGACAGCTTTGTCCTATGACTGAGTTCCGGATCCGCAGTTAATTCTTTTTTAACTGCTTCTAAGGCCATATTAACTGGTATATTAGTATAAAGACTAGTTATATCAAAACTAACCATTGTTTCATCATTCGCTAGTTGAATGTCATTTAGTTTATTTTTCATCTCATATGAATTAGTTAATCTAGAGTTTGAACGATTTCTAATGGGACAAAGTATTAGAGCTAAGTGTTTTGATAATTCATACGTGGGGGTATTTCTAAAATCTACTATTGGTCTTATGGGGTAACCTGGCTTATGTATTTTTATAGTACCATATATTCTACTAGCATTATTAGTTTTAGGCATTAAATTAAACCATTTAGACTCACCCAGTGATGGCTTCATTCTGCGTATTAGTTCCGCTGTAGATTTCTTAACCTTATTCATTATTGTATCTACAGGCTTCTTAATTTCCTCATATGGACCCGTTTGAATATGTTCAGTAACTTTTTTGATGTAGTCAGATTTATCAAACTACGGTGGCGTTTCCTTTGTCAGCTTTTGCGATGACAATGTTTTTATCCTGTTTAAGACTAATTAAAGCTTCCCTTTCCGATTTTGTTAAGTTTGATTTTGTTTTCTTTTGATTTTTTAGGGTTAATGCACATTGTGCTCGAACCTCTTCTGCTGTAGTCTTATCTATTGAGTTTAGTGCTGCTTCTATGTTAGGAATGACGTCCTCTGGTTTTAATTTATTAACTGTTACGTTGAAGTTAACTGCTCTTTTGTATGCACATCTGAGGTTTTTCTATGTGAATGACCAGAGCTTTAGCGATACAAAGAAGACGAAACCGTATTGCCTATGGTAGGTTATTCTTGACTGTGTAGATTACTTTGAAGTAAGAGGCGTTTGTTGAGATGGAATGATCAGTGTTAACAAGGTGTTGTTCAATTATCGCACCTCTTATTGAACCACTAATGCCTTTTCACAACCATGCTGGATAGTGTTCTTGCATCCTATTGGAGAGGATGTGTGTCGATTGACTGATGTACGCGGCTCCACAACAGCAGGTGAAATGATGTATGCACATACTAGTGGTCAGATGTGGGATCTTGCCTCATAAGGCTTCTGCAGATCAGCGGGTGATTTGAGAACACTATTCTTAGCGTTTCTGTAAAGAATGTTCTTCTCAGAGATGATGTGATCCTTCTCTTGAGAATATTGCTTGTGAAGTCTCCTTTGAAGTGCAAGTTCATATAGAGTTTCTTTTTCAGTGCAAGTGAAGTTTCATTTCTCCAAATTCTTGGTTTGATATTTCTATCAGTGAATCTTGGTAGGTATCCATTTTTGATCTAATTCTTTTTGTACAACACTGGGAGTACAGATGCATCGGATGTGGGATTTGATGAAATTCTGCTTTTGTTGAATGGGTACCCAGCTATAGAAGCTTTTTAGTTGACCATTCCAAGTAGCTTTTCTATGGATCGATCTTCTTAAGGTCCCATCAGTTCTTTTTGTTAGTTCCACATTAAGAAAGGGAATTTTGATAGGTTATCCATTTCAAGAGTGAATTTATATATATATATATATATATATATATATATATATATATATATATATATATATAAACCGATAAATACTGTTCTGAATAAAGCTATTATTATCATTATTATCAATGCTTTTGTCTTAAACGTCCTTTCTTCATATGCCGGTGTCTTTCTTCTACTTTTTCGTTAATTAGATACTTTCTAGTACTGGATGTTTCCAGTTCTCGACGTATACCTCAACCGTTGAATGACAATACTACAGTAAATGTTGCTCGTGATAAACTGGAGAATTTACGACAATCTCGACAGATGAAAAAACCACCAAAGCATAGTGTTGCTTGGATTAAACAAAAGAAACAACGTGCTAAAGATCAAATGAAAGAAGTCGCGCATGACTCTAAATATACTGGACGTAAACGTCGTCCAAAATTTTGATAAAAGCCTATCAAAATATAAATCTGTGCATACGTACGTATATATAATGTAAAAAACTATGTTACGCTTATATATATATATATATATATATATCTGGTTTCTGTGCAGTGAATTAATAATATGAAGCGGGCTTTCTTTTATGCCCTCCCTCTCTTGAAAAAATTCTCTTTCTCCTTCGGCTATCTATTTCTTTTTTTTTTGTAACATTTTTAGAGGCAAAATGTAAATAGTTTTGTACATCTAAAAAAAGCAACATATAAGGCTGTAGTTTTGGCGTTTTTTTCTCACTTTTTAAGTGTATTTAATGCATTTTTTTGGCGTATACCTGACTGCGGTTCAACATAGAAGTTTGCTCCAAAAGTGCACCAGTTTAGTTCCCTAAATACATACAAAGGTAGGGGAAAGTATTATTATTATTGCTCCCTTGGGTTCCTAGTGGAACATAGGGCTTCAACTGCACGTCTCCACTTGCCACTTCTATCTTCTGCTGTACTTTTCACCTGCATCCATGTTAGTCCACACTCTTTTAACTCCTCTTCATATGATCTCCTCCATGTCACCCTTGCACTTCCAACCAACTCGCCGCTTCCCTTTCTAGTTCCACTTGATGGCGATGTCACCCAGCGGTCTCCTCACCCAGTGTCCGATCCATCTCCACTTTCTCTTGCATATTTGTTGGGCGATTGGTTCTTGTTTTGTTTGTTCCCATGGTTCCTTGTTGGAGATTCTTTCCGGCCATCTGATCTTCAGTATAGAGGGAAGACAGTTGTTTATAAAGGTCTACAACCTTTTCGAAATATTCTTTGTGACCCGCCCGCCAAGTTTCTGATCCGTATAGAAGAACTGAACGACTTGACGTTGTTTGTATTGAAAATCCGACTGAATTTTGTTGTTGATGTTTAGTGACGAGGATTTCCAGATTGGTTTCAGGTTGATTGATGAATGTGTTTCTCGCCTTCCCGATTCTCGCTCGATTTGACATCCTCGTTCGTTCCGACTGCAGTTGAGACAATGCTCCCTAGATAAGTGAAGTGAATGAAGTAACCTCTTTCAAATCCCTCCCGTTGATGGTGATTGGCGCTGGATGTTCCTGCTGTTGTTGTTGTTCTTGGCTGGTTATTTCCATAACCTCCATCTTGTCTCTGTTCACCTGGAGTCCTGTCTTCACCGGCTGCTTCTTCGACCAGTTTGTCAGTTTTCGCTTGTAAGTCTTCGATTTTGTGACAGTGAAATCAAACATAAATCATCCACGCGCGAAATCCAGGTCATCTAGGTTCTTCGCGTTGGTCCAGAATATTTGGGGGAAAGAAGAGGCTAAAATATACGGGAAACAAATAGGAACTTATGGGAAAACATGATAGATGTGGGAGATCACGAATAGTGAGTGTATCATCTGCACCATTGAGTACGCCTCTGAACCATATCGCCAACATTGAGTCATATGAAAAAGAGAAGACGTTCAGTGAAAAGACTCTTTTCGCCGGCGGATTCATTCACATAGCTATACAATCGCATTTATATATAATTATTTGTGTGTCTGTGTGTGTGTGTACATGAGGTTTGTCAAGTTTAGATAATTAATCAGGTAACACAGAAATAATCTAATATAGAAACAAGGTTAATCAGACAGCAACTAAAGTAAGATTAAGTTAGTAAGTTCGACGACGTAATATGCTTGACTAAAATGTTTCATCTTAGGTCAGAGTAGCAACAGAGGTAATTACAGGTAGAGACTAAGTAGAGGTGGGGTAGAGAATAATGCCATTTAAATTAGAACTGAAAGTGAGTAAATAAGTTGGGTGACGTAACATAAATGACTAGAAATTGAGCGTTGGTCAAGTCAGTAACCATGTGGTAGTGAGATGTAGAAATTAAATTGGGTGGCGGTAGCGAACAAGAAAGCTATAAATGTAAAATATTATAACTGAGAAGACAAAATAATACTAATGAAGAGACAGAAGAGAAAAAAATTAGGTGGAATTTACTTGTCGGGTAATGAGATAGATTACGTCCATTGCAAGTGCAGTCATTGAACGAACTTCTTCTGTATGCACAGTTCAGGAGGACACAGCAAGTGAAACGCCATTGCTTCTGCAGTTTGAAGAAGTCTGATTCGTACACCTTTAGGAAGACTACTTCTTACTCTATAGACGACTTTGAAGTTTGTCTGAGGTGTAGCTTGGTGTCTTGAATCTATCAGATGTTCTAAGATGGAGCTGCGAGGACATCGTTTTTCTCCTTTGTAAAACCATGTTTGTAAGTGTTCGGTGATACGTTAGGAAAGCGAACGCTGTGTACGGCCGACATACCTGGCTCCACACGAGCAGGTGAATTGATATTACCTGATTGATTATCTAAACTTGATAAACCTCATGTACATACACACACGCACACAAATAATTATCTATAAATGCGATTGTACAGCTATGTGAAGGAATTCGCCGGCGAAAAGAGTCTTTTCGCTGAACGTCTTCTCTTTTTCATATTACCAACAGTCTCTAGCCATTGGTTCTTAAAGCCTTGGGGACGCCAACCCTCACTACGTGGCTGGTTCAAACAGCAACAGTTAAGAACTTCATGGATTAATACCAAGTTTTGGTTTAACCAGCCTTTAACTCTTCCCCATCTTAGTCTCTATGTCAGTTAACATTGTTGGACACGAGGAAGGTGGAGGCTTGGCATACAGAACACTTGTCCTAGCTATCTTGTTCAGTGCAGATTGACAAACCCACAATGGCTGACTTCCTTTATTAAGCCTGACTTCTGTACTACTACTACTACTAACACAGAAGATTGGAAGCAAACATCTGTGGTCAAAGGCAGTTTTCTCAGGTCTTCCACTTTCACATCGTTTGATTGACAAATGGAATTCACATCTACGTTAGATATGATGTAAGTCGGCGAGAATTCCATATGAGCGTTTTGTATCGTGGCTGAGGTCTCTTCAGCCACCAGTCAGTCCATTAGGTTATATGCAACTTCCCAAATAAGTGAACAACTGGTCGTCAACAGATTCAACCGCCTTACTCTATATCTTTAAACTAGGATTCAGTACAAACCGGTCCTGCTGTGTCATCCTACATTTACAGGGACGAATGGTATACCAAGATTTCTACAAGGTGTTCAGGAAACTCTTCATTTTGTTCGCGTTTTCCCCTAAGGCGATAATATCATCCGCATGCTCATTTGTTTGCAATACTTTTTCTCTCACATTTGTGTGCATTCACGCCTTCTCCGGTTCATTACGATAAGTTCTATATGGAACACCCGTAAATAAAAATGCTTATGCTGAAACACTCATAAAGCCTCATCATGTATATATATTTAAGATATAATCACAGCGTACCGTAAAATAAAATATCCACACATTCTATATGTAGTCGCCGAGATTTTGACAATGCGATCATATAGGTTTATTCCAAAGTTAACATCTTAACAAAATACTGCCCGCTTGACATCTGTCTGTCTGTTTTCGACATATAACTTTGCCCTGATGTGCAGCAAGCAGTTCAAGTCGCCACACTCCACTCCTTGTTGTAGCACACACAGCAAGAGAAGAAATGCTTAATAGAGACGGTAGACAGGGATATGAGACAAAATGAATAGTAATAACGAAGAACAATATATTTTCATTGGAAATCATAAGTCACAAGGAGTGGATACATCTGCCTCAGCCACTGAGAACGATTTTGAGCCATATCACCAATTGTATCCAGCCTTCGTTGGTTTTTACCGTCCCGAAGACCTATGTGGCTTAAACTAACTGTTGTGGGTTTCATTGACTGGTGAAGCCGTGTTTTTGGTTTAACCGCCACTAGCTCTTTTCCAGCTTGACCCTATGTCAGCCAACATTCTCCATCGAGGAGGGCGATGACTACGCCAGTTATATGTAACACATGTCCTAACCATCTCAGTCGATGTAATTTCACAGGCTCGTCGATTGATTTCCCCTCCTTACCTAGCACTCAACCAACGCCTAACCTCAATATTTCTCACCCTATTAGACTTACCACTTCACACGGGAGATAGAACGCAGGCACCTATGATGAAAGGCAGCTAGCCAGAATTTTCATGTCTTCTACTCATAATGGCCACAGCCAAAATGGAGGACGGAGCGGATTGCTGGGCAGTACAATCGCCCTATGGTAGGTAGCCAGCCGGATATCACGTCTACGCCGGAGACGCCGTAAACTTGCATATGCGAAACTAGCCCTCTGTATCTGTGCAGAGATTTCGTCAGAGATTAACCCGTTGGCACAAGCTGATGCAATTTTCCGAATAAGTGAAGCGGTCAATGTGCTCTACCACTTCACTCCTTATTTCTAAACTAGGAGTCAGTGTAGTCCAGTCCTGTAACATCATCTTACATTTGACAAGACATCTACATCCTGGTGAGATTTGTTCCGCCATTCCTTTTTAGAAATTACTTGGTGTAATACTAACGGATGTTAGCATACTTTACAAGCTGTTGGAATAATGCTGATTAACCGTAGGCGTTTCAAGCCACTTAATTTATATCAATATTTTTCATATAAACGCAAGTATTCATATAACTGACACGCCGTTTTTACAAGTACGATCAAACTTAGTGTGATTTACGCTAAGCGCAATTTATTTGAGATAGTTAGTCTTTTCAAATAACAAGAATATGAGTTCTTTCAGATAGCAGATAACTAATTGTAAGACAAAAGTATATGGCTAGCGATCACAAGTTAGTTCTTCAGCAAAATGTACTTGATACACACCCCAACAATAAAAAAGACACTACTTAAATGTCCAGTTATGCTAAATACTGTGAATCGGTGAAATATTGCATTTTGAATAATCCAGCCCATCATACACAACGCAAGATTGTATAAGGATGGGAGAACAATATCAGCTCACATAAAACCATTTTTAATTTAGTGTTCAAAGGAATGAATCACCTCGAATTGATATTTGTGCATATAAACGATCTAGTATAGAGAAATAATTCTTTCGTCATCTAGGAAGTGTAACTGAGCGCATATTCCCTGCACTGAACGACTGCCTTTCACCTCTAATAAGCGATAAAGAACTAACTCCACCTCGCACTATGTCATACTGCTCACATA